TCCAATCTACTCAGTGTCTGATGGTAAGTGGTTCTTTTACTTCCTTATCCATTTCTACTCTTATAATTTGTTTCTCCGAACCCACTCAGTGGCAGGTGTTGCCTGAAAGTGTATATTTACTTCCCTAAATCTGCATTAAGTTAGGGGTGGCAGAAAGTGTTAAACCCATCTACCCTGGCTTCTAAAGTGCACACTGTTGAAATGGGGCCCTTTGCTAGACCATTACAGTGGTATGTATATATCATTATCTGTTCCAGACTCTACCTACTCTGGACTCCCATGTAAAAACCCAGCACTGGGAAAGTGTCTGCCCACTTCCATATTTCACACATGCCAGCTTTTCAAAGTAGGTTTTACAGCAACCCATTACACTTTCTTCAGTAAAAGACCTTAGCAGCAATTGTGTCCAAGCACATTTTGTGCCCTCAACACGAATTCCTCACTTACTGGTCATCGAGTGAAGCACAGAAGACACTTTCCAGTTCCTAGCCAATAGGGTGGTCAAGTTGGAGAGTTTCTCATCCATTATGTGATCCCTTTGGAGAGAGTTTAAATGGGCAGCCCGAGGCCGCGGGAAGTACGGCAAAGGTGTCTATGTCAGTGTAGTGAAGGTCATCCCTCTTATATAATATGCCGATTTCTCGGTGGTTTGGTGAGCCAGATGGGGCAAAGTGTTTTCTTTCTATGATAAGAAGGGACTTTTATCTCTGTAAATGATACAACAGAACACATACCAAACTGTATAATCTGATCATTGCCGTACCCACACTACATCTCATGTTCAACTGACCAGTTATGTGCAAATACTTCGTTGTCCATGCACTTTTCCTCCTGTCCCTGGAAATAAAAGGCTTTGCCTTCCTTCTCTTTCATACTTTCATCCAGGTAAAAAGTATATCCTGGATGAGATGGATAAGGTCTCCCACGAGTGTTGCCCCTTTAGTAAATTCACACTATTGGATATTACACTCAATGGGTTTTCCCCCTTCAGCTACCTTCGCTGAATACATCTCAACTATGTTTTTGCAATTGCACCAGCCCCTCCAACACATCATTGTGGGGTTATAGCTATTGTTTGCAGAGAGATAAGTATCTATTGGAAATACAATTACAGGTATGGAAAATGTTAACATTCAACTGAGATCTTCAAGTGTCTCTACAGGATCGAAAGTCATCTATTGCAGCTGAAATGTAGGCGATTCTTCAAGTCACCCACTTCATCCTTCTCTTTTACAGTTGAGGGGAGATGTAATTTTATAGGCCTTGCTGGTTCTGTTGTCTGTCCTGTCATCAGCACTTTTATGTACTTAAATTCATTACACTCTTTGAATTAACTGTTTGTTATGATCTCCAAGTCAATTATATTTTGCCCACTAGTCATGACCTCACTGTTCTCTATGCTAGTATTCATGTGGAAGTTGTTACAGCTCTTATATTGTTTATAGAAGAACCTGGTCATCTCCAAAGTATACATAGTATTTCATTGGACTTTCCTTGTTTCCTGATATAATTAATCTACCTACTGAAGAGTAAAGGTGACATTATGTACTCTTGCCCTGTTCCTGATGTCACATCAAACCATGGCGAGAAGATAGGTTGCTGTTCTTGGCCTATAAGCTTTTGGTGATATTTAGGACATGATCTTTTACTCTATACTGTTTGAGCACGGAACACATCTTTAATCTATCAATCATCCTATCAGACACTTTTTGGGTCATTAAAGAGTAACATCAGCTATTGTTCCATGGTGTTTTTCAGTTAGTTGTAAGGGGTAAAGATGGTAACTGTGTAGATAAGTTTTCAATCTTCTAGCCACCCACTCTTTCTACAAGATATAAATCATCCATTGCAGCTACGGTGCAAATAATTATTCATCAGTTGAAGTCATCCACTTTTTCTACAAATATAAAATAGTCCATTACAATTACAGTGTAGGTAGTAGGGTACATTAATCTATCTCATATCTACGACCGATGTTCAAGTTCAATTCTTTTCACAATTGAAGATGTGGCAGTGCACTCATCTTCTGACTAAGATCTGGTTTTCTTTGTTTAATGGCCAAAGATTCTAACATTGAGGATGACTCAGAAGAAACTAGACACAACATCACATTCGTTTAGACAGTGGTTGGTAATACTAATGGTTTTTGTAGGTTTTAGACAGTGGTTGGTAATACTACTGGTGTTGTAGGTTTTAGACAGTGGTTGGTAATACTACTGGTGTTGTAGGTTTTAGACAGTGGTTGGTAATAGTACTGGTGTTGTAGGTTTTAGACAGTGGTTGGTAATACTAATGGTGTTGTAGGTTTTAGACAGTGGTTGGTAATACTACTGGTGTTGTAGGTTTTAGACAGTGGTTGGTAATACTAATGGTGTTGTAGGTTTTAGTATATACAGAGTTCTTTTATTTGACAGAAGAGCTTTTTAGTGGTTGATTCAAGATGTACCTGGTTGCACCTTGGGCACGTGAACTCATGTTTGTCTTTGAAGTTAAATAGTCCTTTTTATCTAGTCTGTGACACATTTTAATTAAATTTGTGTATATAGTTGTTTGATGATTTTCTTCTTAATCATGTATGAAATAATATCTAAGTAAGGTATTATACTAAAGTAACAGTTTTATTTAGAACATCGGACACAACAACAGATGGGTTATTTAGTTTTTATGTAAATTATTTTATTTAGAAACAACAACGGAAACGATTTCTTGTTATTAACTTCTGTCTCAAAAGAGTTTTTATTTTCTGACATTTCAAACACTCTATATAGCATTTTAAACCAGATTTTCTAAAGATTGAAGGAGTGTGAGTAAAGTCCAGTTTATGATACGATTTACTGTAAAGTATACCCTGGTTATTTAAGATGTAATAGCTAAGAACGATAGTTTATCCTTCCGATCATTTTCAGCAAGACACTTGTACTTAAATGTCTAACAATATAATC